CTACCTATAACACTTGTAATTGGATTTAAGAATAGCGATATACAAGCCATATTTACTCATCAATAACCCTTCCATGAACCCCATCAATATAATCACATCTATATCAGTTCTATATAATTTATCGAGCAGCAATACTGTATAAGGTGCTATAGTGTTACTCTCGTGCATATTAAACAAAACTCTTTATCGGATTAAAAAAACGTGCCGATTTGTCGTGATCCGATTAACTTGCCAAAGGACTGCTGCCGTTCAGGAATACCTTACGTGTTCGAGTTATTTTTACATATATATATACAGAATACTCGCGGAATGGTAGTATTTATGGTGGTGTGGTGGTGGTGTTATGGTAGTGTGGTTGTGGTATGGTAGTGTGGCGGTTAGGGTAGGGGGTGGTATGGTAGTGTAGTGGTTATGGTAGCGGTGTTGTGGTGGTTATGGTAATGTGGTTCTGTTGTGGTAGTGGTGGTATGGTAGTGTAGCGGCTATGGTAGCGGTGTTGTGGTGGTTATGGTAACGGTGGTATGGTAGTGTAGCGGTTATGGTAGCGGTGTTGTGGTGGTTATGGTAACGGTGGTATGGTCGTGTGGCGGTTATGGTAGCGGTGTTATGGTAGTCTGGTTCTGTTGTGGTGGTATGGTAGTGTGACGGTTATGGTAGCCGGTGTTGTGGTAGTATGGTTGTGTTGTGGTAGTGTAGTGGTGGTTTCTTCCCCCAGGACAAAAGCCACTACTTTCAGCCTCTGTGTATTCATTGGCGGTGGTGGTGCTGTTGTTATTGTGGCGGACCAATTCTCGCTGCCTGGCTACTCAAGAGGGTAATGTTGTTCCCGGCGAGGCACTTAACCTACCTGTACATACACACCACCTGGCCAAGCTGACTACACCTGTGGCACCTCTCTCTCTCTCTCTCTCTCTCTCTCTCTCTCTCTCTCTCTCTCTCTCTCCTCTTGCTAAAAATTGTTGAGTCAGTCAAGGTGATTGTGGATCGTAGAAATCTTTGTTTTATCATCACCATCACCACTAATACATTTATCATCACCACCACCACTAGTACAATTATCATCACCACCACCATCACCACTACTAGCATGATCATTACCACCATCATCACTCCCCCTTCCCCCTCTCCCCTCCCCCCCTCCCTCTAACGGACCCTCAGTATAACCCTACTTTCCTTTCAATAAGTCCAAATTAACTAGAGGTTTCACCGAGGAAGATGTTCAGTACTTTCAGAGGCCTGGTGGGTGTGTGTGGCGGGGAAACTATCACCACTCAGCTTTTTTAATACTGATTCATAACCTCGCGGCCCCTTAATACTTGAAGGGTCTCTCATTATTCCTTATTAACTGACGCTGATCCTCCCTCTTCCCCCTTGTCTTCCTTCTCCTCATCCCTCCTCCTTCTTTCTCCTCCCTCTCCTCCCCCCCATCTTCCCTCCTTCCTCCCTCTTCCCTATTACCGGTAGTTCCCCGGTCTCACCTCCTACCGGTAATAGTGTACTTTAACCTGCTTTATCCCCCGGTAACGACACCATCACCCAACTTCCGGGAGCTTTTGCGAGTCTCAGAACCTCGTGAATTGAATTCCCCCCTTTCCTCCCCTTCTTGTCTCTCCTCTCACCCTCCTTCCCCCTTCTTCCCCCTACTCCTTCCTCCTCCTTCCTTCATTCCTTCCTTCATTCCTGCACACTGTTTTTTAGTCGTCCTTCTTCTCCTTCCTCCCCATTCTGACTCCTCCTCCCTTGTTCCCTCTCCTCCTGAGTCTTCCTCCACCCCCATCCTCCCTTCTTGGCCCCCATTCCTCCCTACCTACCTGGAGAAGTGATGTGAGACGGCGCCTAATTACTTCACTTTTATCTACAACATTAAGATAGATTCCCAGAAGGTTCCTACGTTAACATGTTTTAATATTTGAAAATTCTAAGACTCCATTTTACTGGTAACTTGGGGTTCGACTAGCAATGTAACCTAACACTTTAATGCTCTTAAGTTAAAACAAAAAATTATTCCCTTAAGTGGAGAGAACGATTCTAACATGCTCACTTAAACCAAGACACAGAAATTGGATTCTCTAACGCTCGTACTGTGTTAAAATTTACCCCCCCTCCCCCCCTCCCCTTCCACCCCCTTCAAAAAAAACTAGGGATGTGAGAAAGTTTGAAACACAATCATCTTAACTCTGGTATAAAAATGGCGTTCAATTTGCTCTGAGACTTTATAGATCAAGTCGTTCTCTCATCACTAGGTAGAGGAGAAGGTGAACGTAGGTGACTTTGAACTCGAACCTCTTGAGTCCATGAGAGAGGAAATGTCGAAAAATTCATCGCTTTTTTCCTCCTCCTCCTCCTCTTCTTCTTCCTCTTCCTTTTCCTCCTCCTCTTCTTCCTTTCTTATCTCCTCTCCTCCTCTTCCTCTTTCATCCTCGCTTACGGGTGTCGTGAATCAGTCTCCAACACCATGATTCAATTACCTGTGAAGCTTCGTACCCGAGAGTGAACCGTATAAAAAAATCATCTGATCTTACATTAATGATCGCGTTTTTTTTTTATGTGTCTCATTTATCTTTCTTTTTGTTACATGAAGGGGATAGGTCGTACCCTGCTTTTACTTACAAGCTCGTGACTGTGATGTCCCTGTGCTTGTGTTTATTCTAGTGAGTTTGTCTTTGAAGTGTAAAATACGAATGCTTGACACACGCTTCATCACTCGCCTAGACTTTCAGAGAGAGAGAGAGAGAGAGAGAGAGAGAGAGAGAGAGAGAGAGAATAATTGGGTCTCACAGTTCACACTTTGCCTGTCTGTTAGTGAGGGTGGAGTAGAGAGTCCGTCTAAAGTGTTTCCGACTGGACTACCCTTCCCTTCCCTTCCCTTCCCCCCCTCAGAAGAAGTTTACTGTAGGTACTCTACTGTATAATCACCTCCTCCTACATCGCCGCAGTCAGGAGTATGATATATCCTGCCGGGGTTTAAAATCCCCTCCTTCTCTCCTCACATGATTTATTTTATTTTATAGCCTGAAGGGAATTTTTTCTCTACTCCATAAGGATTTTTTTTTATCCTTTCATCTACGAGGGTAAAAAATCTTCGTTGTAAATTTTTCTTTTTTGTATAAGGGAATTTTAAGATTTTATATCTACGAGAATAAATATTTATGAGTTTTATTTATGTGAAAGAAAATGTTATTATCAGTAGTTATTATTACGTTATTGATGTTGTCACGGTGAGGAACCTTCATTGGTCCACTGCTACTACAGGAGGGTAATAACACACCTCTCTCACATCGAACCCGGGACATAGTTCTGAGAGGTACGCATATTGCCGCTGTGCCACCAACACCCAGGGAGTCAGTCAGTCAAGTCAGTCAGTCAGTCAGTTGTTGCGACACGCCAGGTGATGTAAAAGTCAAATCACTCACTTAATTAAATCATCTCTGACGTCTCTTGACACAGGAATTAAAAAAGAAAGAAAATAGAGAGAAAGAGAGAAACTGCCTCACTCATGTGGTGACGGTTTCTCCCTGATTAAACAAAAGTGAAACTAAAACAAAAATCTCCGGGACACTTTCACTGCTTTAAACACCTTTAGAATCACTTAATATAAACAGGTGTGAAGAATTAAGAGTAACGTACACCTGTTAAGTGAGTTCCCACCAGGTGATGAGTCTTACCTGGATGATAAATGATTAATTGGAATGTCAGGAAAAAACAACATGTAAAAATTAATAAAACTGCTGAAGGGGGAAAACTGACACCACCATTCTCCTGAAGGCTTGGTTCTTCTTCTTCAGGTAACGTGGTAAAAAAAAATTGTCTTCTCGGTGTTACCTTCTTCGTCGTGTTCCTCTGGGGAGTATAAACTGATCTCTCTCTCTCTCTCTCTCTCTCTCTCTCTCTCTCTCTCTCCTCATTCGATATGCAAGCAAGTCTACACATCCAATACCATTAGTACCAGCAAAACCTTCCATTTGTTGATGAAGTGTCGTGTATGGCTGTCAGGATGCACGACCTGAGGGAAAAGCCAGCAGGTGATTGGTTGTCTCCCACGGGCCCGACCAATCACTGGCCACTGATGGATTGGACGGCCGCCTGTATCAGCTGTCCTACACTATTACAAAATGTTGACATAGCAAAGTGCATCCTATCAGTATTGATGTATAGAACTAGTGTAGTTTTGGGGGTTATTTAAATATCCAAACATTGCTTTACGGTGGTTTGTTTATGGTGATTTATATTCAATTACACCGAACCCTGGGTGTAGTCTTTGCTTCCCGTGTGTTGATTTAAATGTTATATGACGTCATGGGTTATTTATCAGTTACCTCTTATCAAAGCGTGACATATTTACCAGGTATTTCAGCCATAGTGTGTCTTGTGGAGCGGGTGAGGGACGTGACATATTTTACAGGTTTTCATTATAGGCGTAATATATTTACCGTCTGCCACAGTAACTTATTTATCGACCGACGATGTTTATCTTTTGCATCAGCTGACAACACACACACACACACACTCTCTCTCTCTCTCTCTCTCTCTCTCTCTCTCTCTCTCGTGTTAATCGCTCATACATTCCGAGCGGCGATTAAACCTTTGGATTTATGGCAGTTGGTTTTAAAGGGTTTATTGGTTTGTTGTGTTATAGGTGAGATGATCCACAGTGCTAGTAGGAGGTAGTACTAGTAGGTTACTCTCCTACTAGGTCACACTCTTATTAGGTCCCGCTTCTAGTAGGTCACATTGCCCTAATAAACCTCTGTCCTAATATGTTCTATTTTTGTTGACCATACACCTATTAGGCTACAACTTAACCTAATCTAACCTAACCTCACCTCACCTCACCTCACGAAATGTTTAAAGTAACATCCAATAGTGAAAAGGTTAATTTTATTTACACTGTCTCACCTTCTTCCTTCCTTCCTTCCTTCATGTACACACTAAGTAACGCCTTCTTCCTTCTTTCCTTCTCCTCCTTCATTTACATACTAAGTGACCTCGTTCCCTTCCAGGTGTACTTCGACAACCGCACGCTGTTCGCCAACGTCACATCGACGCGTCCTAACTTCAACGTGAGTCGGCTGGACGCTGGCACCAGTTACCAGATCAAGGTGTACGTTACCCACGGCCCGGTGACCTCCCAACCCGTGGTGGTGTCGGCCTATACCTCCAGAACCTCCAGGACCAACACAGGTTAGTTTATACCTCCACACACACACATACGTACGTACACACATGCCTACACACACACACACACACCCTCACCAACACCACACACCTACACACACACACAGCTACACACACCCACACACCAACCCACACACCAACCCACACCCACCTACACCTGCAGGACAAATGCTTAATTGGTAATCTCTTCAGCTCCCACACCTGCACAAGGGAGCAGATCCTTCACTGAAATTACAGTCTCCAGACCCAAGCAGGAACAAAATAAACCCAGCAGGTTTATTTTAAGCCTTCCATGCCATTACGAGTAAACATTAAAACATTCCAACCTTTCCTGGTATTACAAGTTAACATTAAACATTTAAACCTTTTACGATCTACAAAGTGAATATTTAAACCTTTTTAAAACTTGTGAGTAATGATTTAAACCTTTCTGAACCTTATACATAACGTAACATAATTCTACTAGATGACTAATATAACTCATTGTTATTTTATGTTATAAGTTACTTCAATGTCCACCAACCATTTTTGGAACCTTTTCTTTTCAATAGTTTAGATGTATCGTTAAAAAATGTAGCCAACAAACTGTGGGAAAAAAGTGAGGTGTGTCAAATTGTCTAAAAAAACCAACTTTCCAGGTCAGTGTTATGTTGGTATTATTATTTTATTTACCAACGTTCGAGTCTGATGGAAATATTTCTTGATGGGGAAATTTATATAAGACTTTCTGAGGATGATTACGGTAAATTTCCTTCTTTTATTTACACCAGTGCGAGGAAGTGTACAGTAATTGGGTTGTGTTGGTGTCAGGTCAGGCCAGGTCAGGTCAGGTCAGGTCAGGTCAGGTTAGGTTAGATGTAAAAAAAAAATACATTTTACTTTCGTTATTTTCAGTGTCAATATATAACACTCTCGCTCATTTTGTTTTTGTTTTATTTTCGCTTTGTTATTTTTTAAAAGCCTTTTTCTATTTCTTTTGTTTAGAGAAAATAAAATAAGGATTTATCTCCTAGCCTTACGTTATGGTTGACACACACACACACACACACACACACACACACACACACACACACAACACCATTTCACTGTTAAGATTTTTTGTATGTCAGAATATAACCTTTGGTCTATATATCTTTTCAGTATTTTCTCCACACCATTTTTCACAGATTGGTATAGGTTTAGTTTTTTCTGTTGATAGTTTATTTTTTTTTTTTTTTTTAGAAGTCTATTGGAAATTTCATAAGTCAACCCGGATTTAACAGCCGGGTTGCCTGTATACCAGTGTGATATCTGTCCAAATTCGAATACAAGGAGGAATTCTATTTTTTTTTGGGGGGTCCATGATAAATAAGACTAATTTCTCTCTCCCCCACACACACACACACACGCACACACACACACACACACACACACACCGTTAACTAGTCATCAAGAAGTAAAAGTTAAGATACATGGGCTTATAAGTTTAATTAATATTTTATGTAGTAAACCTAAATAATGTTGCCAGGTTTTTTTTAGGAGTGTTTACATGTATCAGTTGGAGTGTACACCGCCGCTATATTGGATTTTTATAACAGTTTTGTTTGATAATATTCGTAAAAATATTTGATCCTTTTTCATTGTCGGAGTGCACGGAAATGGAACCTAGAACACCCTTAGGATTTTTTTCTGCTGTTGTAAAATGAATCTTTCGTTTTATCTACCTTAAACATCACAAAGAAACCAAATAGCTTTAATATATTTTTTTTTTAGCTTTCATACTAGATGTTTAAAATCGGGAAAAACATTTATAATCAACTGGTATAAGAATGTATATGGCTGTGTATGGTATTAACACACACACACACACACACACACACACACACACACACACACACTACTACCAATATTACCAACCATTTTACATCTATTTTTTGACCTTTTTACCCCCCAGCAATAGAGGTCATTTTCGCTCCCAATTAAAATGTTAATGCATTCATGATCTAGGAACTTTTTTTTTCTTTTTTTTTAATTAATTGACAGTTGATTGGCAGTAGAGGCCCGGATGAACTGTGTCGATACTATAGCCAAGTGTTAGAATAATTTACATGGATGTTTTTTTTTTAAGCAGTAAATTACATGGCGAGTTTATTATGGTGTGGGGTTGTGTTTGTCTGTCTAGATGATATGTGTTCGTTTATGGTGTGTGTGTGTTTTATTATGAATGAGTGTCATTTAATTCGAAAAAAGATCATGATTTATTTATTTTTATTATTATTATTAGTATTGTTATTATTATTATTATTATTATTATTATTATTATTGTTTTTATTATTAGTATTATTTTGTTATTATTATTATTATTGTTTTTATTATTAGTATTATTTTATTATTATTATTATTATTGTTATTATTGTTTTATTATTATTATTATTATTATTATTATTATTATTGTTTTTATTATTATTATTTTATTATTATTATTATTATTATTCCATACTTAACGTCATCTCTTTGAAGAACAGACAGCGAGAGAGGTAAGAGTGACAGACAAGAATACAGAAAGAATAAAGAATTAAAAATAGGAAGAGGGGGAGAAAAGAGGAGGAAGGAAAGAAAGAAAACAAAGAATTAAGAGAGAGAGAGAGAGAGAGAGAGACCTCACCTGCTGTTCCACATTAAGCTCTGCTATGCCCCTGTAGGACTGACACAGCCAAGCGTAAAGCTCTTAGGGAACACGGGAAAAGCACAATAATTCAGGAGGAAGGAAGGAGGAGGATAAAAACGAAGAGGAAACGAGTGAAAACAAAAGAAAACAATAATAGGACAATAAAGTAAATGACAAGAGAGCTTCTCTCAATGTATTTTGTCAAGTGATATTTAACCATGTAAATAATAACCTAACCTAACCTAATATCATTAATTAATCTTCACGAAGTTCTAAATAATATTTCTAAATGACTATCTAAGTGATTCTTCTAAACATTGTTCCTAAATAAGGTCAAACGTATTTAAGAAAAATAATAAATTCTACCCGGACAAGTTGGCAAATTGTGTAAAACTCTACGGACATCACCACCCGCGTTTCATTTACTCAGCTTTATGACGTCACCAAGGGAATCTTAAAGCAGTGTGTGTGTGTATAACCTATAATGCGACCCACCACCCTCCCCTGCCTTTATATATAGTGATCTAATACAATAGTCCCCATGATAGTCACCCCAGGAATTGTTGTTTTGCTTACCAGGAATCAACCGATGACTTGATGTTGGAAAAGCACCACAAACCAGATGTGATAAACCCCAATTAATTAGTTTATTATTCTCGTTATCCGGAAGACTCTAAACCAATCAAGCACAACCCTAATAAAGCACCCTTGAGTAGGTTAGTTTTGATTGGTTGTTATCGTCTTCTTTCAGTTTTAAGTCAGTTTTCATTGGTTTATCTCTAAATTAATAGTCTGGGTGTCCTGTTCGTGGTACTTTTCCAACAGTATATTTTTCCGAGGCATGATGGATGCTTCGTTCCTGCCAGCACATATATCATGCCTAAATTGCAATTTTATTCAGTGACTATTATTGATGTTCTCAATATGGAAGTGAATTTCTAAATGTGCAAGTAAATTTGATGGATGTTTTTAATAATTCTTGAGCAGCTGTAAATTATCTCGAGTGTTTTATAAGAATATTTGCAGAGATGTGAAGTTAATGGTGGTAATTTTAGTGTGTGTGTCTGTGAGTAAGAGAGATAGTACGAGAAAGAGCGAGATATAATGAGAGAGACGGTGAGAGATACAAGGTCATCCCAACACACGTAAAAAAGATTTGATCGTCCAATGTTGCAAAAATTATCGTTGTTGACTGTAGGTCGTGGCCGGACAGATAGAGAGATAAGGAGATTAATAACTATAAATATATGTATATACGTATATTGGATATAAAAAAGGAGAAAGAGAGATAGAGACATAGAGAGAGAGAGATAAATAGAGAAAAAATATATATAAAGATAACGATATATTTTCTCCATCATTTTGCGTCAACCTCATCAAAACACTCGGGCAGTTTCAGAGTGATTTTTTTTTTTTCGGGGGGCTCACGAGGTTGGTTTTGCGTGGCAGTAAGTATGAATATTTACTAAAGTATTGCGAGAGTGGTTTGCCCTTTGACCTTTGACCTTTTGACCAGCTAGCACTTTAGTTTGGACGTGGTGAGGGGGGTGGGTGGGTGGATTGAGTCTCGGATGCGTTCAGGTGAGTGGATATTGCGAAACCATACCTGAACCAAGTGGTGTCAGCTGAACGTTGCGGCCTGGTCACTGCTGTAGGTTGTCCATTTTAAGTGTCTGAACTTGGGGGTCTCTCTCTCTCGTATATAATAAAGTTTTTAGTGTACCCTGATAAAAGAGAGAGAGAAAACGACCCCCAATGAGTAATATTAATGAAGGCAGCACCAAAATAACATGGAAGGACACTAATGGGGCAAATGTTTAGTGGACCAAGACAGTCTTACCTGGTGATTGATGACCTACCTCCCTCCCTCCCTCATGGTGACCCTTCCTCCCCTTCCCTCCCCCTCCCTCCCTACCTCCTCCTGGTGACTCTCCTTCCTTCCCCCTGCCCTCCCTTCCCTCCTGGTAACCCTCCTTCCTTCTCCCTCTCTCTCCCTTCCTTCTCTCTCTCCTCCCTCCTTCCCCTCTCCTACTCCCCCCTTCCCTTCCTTCCCTCCCTCACCAAAAATATCAGTCATAGGATGTAACAAGACCGCAAATAATGTGAACTTTGTGCATTTTACTGTACATATGTTCTTTAGGTGTACATAAACGCCTGTGAACTGTACACTACTCTGTAACATTAACCTGAGTACAGTGTCTCATTAAAGTACATAGCGTGTATGAGTGTTGTGTATATTGTACGGATAAATTGTTCACTTTAGCGTCCGTTAGCTAGGCGTGTTGAACAGTATATAATTAAGCTAAATCTGTTGCCTTGTGGGGATATAACACCAGCGTTCGTGAGCGTGATGGATTTTAATTGATTTGTTTACATTAGCGTTCGTGAGCATGATGTCTCGTTGTAGGATTAAATGGCGTTCGTGGGTTTAAGAAGATTTATAATAGCATTCGTAAGACTAGTTCACTGTACACGTAGAGGATTAAAACAGCGTTCGTATTTTTCAGTTTATATCACGATTTGGCTGAATTTGTATAGGCCTATGAAGACTGTACGAGTGGGAGCCGAGGGAAGCGTTAAGTTTCTCTCAAAATGGCCGAGGTTACAGGCAGAGACTCTTGTGACCAGGTGTTGTGAATTTCAACCAATATGAATTTTAGTGGAGATAATTATTACTGTTTGAGAGTGGTTTTGTTGTGTTTGAGTGTGTTTGTTGCGTGTGAGAGTGTTTTTGTTGTGTTTGAGTGTTTTTGTTGTGTTTAATATTTTTTAATGTTTTGAGTATTAAGTTGGAAGAGGAACTATAAAATAATAATATACTGTGTGTGTGTAACTATATACTGTAACTTGAAACACAATTAACTAAATATTTGTGTTTGTTTTTTACGCACCGTGTTGTACAGACATAAGTTGTTCCTTCCTCTAGTCCATGATAGTCTTGTGTCTTGTTCTAGGTGATACAGAGAACATTGTCCGGGTCAAGTGTAGCAAAATTATTAATAATTTCTGAATAACAAGTAAGTGATGATAGGATATTTCCGTGTGTGTGTGTGTGTGTGTGTGTGTGTGTGTGTGTGTGTGTGTGTGTACGGACCCCACAGCCGGCAGAGTACATTACTAAAGTCCAGCCTAACGTGACCCAAATACTTATTGACTAGATATTTACAGCCGGTGGCCATAACTCACGCCCTCCGCTCCTCACATGAGCCAGATATTTCATGATAGGAAGTTTGTTATGACAGGAGACACTGCAGAGCCGCCCTACCCTCCCCGCCGCCTCTCAGTGTGTCCTACGCCGCCAGTCTTATACGTGAACCAATCTCCGAAATGCACTTTTTCCATTTAGAGAAGAAGCAGGATGGTGATGAAGACCAGCCCTCGGAGAAGCCTGCAGGAGGTGGTGGTAATGCTGGTGGTCCTGGTACTGGGGTGGTGGCGGTACCTGACGGCGACGGTCGTGGCACTGGTACGGCCGTCGGTAGCAGCGGCGGCGGTGGCAGTACAGGTGGTACGGTTGGCGGCGCTGGTGGTATGGGGGCGGTGATGGGCGTGGCGGCGGTGAGTTTGGTAGCTCTTGTGGCTATGGTGTGGGCGTGGCACTACTGCAGGAACAGCTGCTGCGCCGGCAAGAGGAAGGACGTCCGCCTCGCTTCAGCCGACGACACCAACAACCCCGACGTGGTCCCTAATATTGGTGAGTAGACGAGAGAGAGAGAGAGAGAGAGAGAGAGAGAGAGAGAGAGAGAGAGTGTTTGTGTGGGAGAGAATGTAACTGAATGAAGCACACAGAGAGAGAGAGAGAGAGAGAGAGAGAATAAAGCCAGCGAGACCTCCCTCTTTCCCTCCCTCACACTGCTCACTCCCTCATTCAACTCACCATTGGACCGGATATTACCGAAAGGCTGTACGCTATTCTGCACTACGAACTGAGTTTAGCGGATCCGTCCACCCGTTGTATATAAGGCGTAATGCGTCATCACAGTCACGCATTATGTGGGTCGCTGTGGATGACGTCATTACCATACCTGATGCTTCGACCAACCGGTGGACGGACTCGTGAAATACCGTACAATATAAACACCTTTTTTTGTTGTTGTTGTGTTGTATTGTGTTTGTTACCCCTTGTCTGTGTTTTTGTCTCATATATATTTCTTTGTGTTTGTCTGTCTGTCTCGTATAACTTTCTCTCTGTCTGTGCGTGTTATTGTTATCACTGTCGTCTTTACTCCAGTATGTTGGGAATGTTGTTACTGTGTGTTGATTTTACTTAATCAGCCTTGTACCTGTAAGTGTTGTCAATCTATAGTGTTTCTAAAAATGTTATTACCTGTTTTTTCAATGTTGTCAATACACGAGTCAGTCTATTGTAATGTTTCTAGAAGTGTGTGTGTGTGTGTGTGTGTGTGTGTGTGTGTGTGTGTGTGTGTCTGTGTAGTGTGAATATGTCTGTTTGTGTCTGTACATATTATCACTGTCGTTGGTGTTATTGTGTGAGAATGCTATACGCGTTGTTTATGCTGTACACGTCATCATTGTCATCATTTTTTGTCAGTATTGTATGAGTGTCAGTCTGTCATTATTGTCATTGTTTGTTTGTTTGTGTGTGTGTGTGTGTGTTTATATTGCAGTATTGTATGATGCGCTTTTGTTTCAATGTCCATTTGATCTTAATTGTATTTCTCGGTGTTCGTTTTATTTTTTTATTTTTTTTATTTATGGCAGGTTTCTATGTTTGTTATATCTACTGTCTATATATTTATAGTTTAGAAAGATATCTCTCTCCGTGCAAAACACCAATAAAACCTTCTGGAGCTGAACGCCCTTACAACTCACCCTCCTCCTGCTATCCTGCTGGGGGAAGGTATAACCACCACCATCATATCTCCATCCTTGACCTCAATTTCTAGGATATCAAGACGCCTTTGCACGTCGATCGGTGTGCTTGGTCTTGGCATGATGTGGCGTGTGTGGCAGCTATCATGTTAAACAATCCTTCCCGCTAAACATACATATTACCGCTGCTTTTAATGTCTTGTTCTCTGTAAGGTCTCTTGGAATGTCGTGAGTGATGACTTTTTGCTTTGGGTGTCTGGTCATATTTCAGGGTCACGGTATGATATGAGTGATAAGAGTCGTCATGTTTGTGATCTCGTGACCTTTGGAGTGTTGGTATTCAAGGTCATGCTTGTGGTATGATTAATGGAGGTGTTATCTCATGTGACCTCCAACTCTATTAAAGGTGATGTTATGTTTCTGTTTCATATTTTCTTTTATTTATTTGTTTGTAACGTAATTCTTCATCTTCCTTCCTTGTTTTATCTTTTGTTGTTTTTTATTGTTTTATATTCTGTCTGTTTTTATTCTCTTGTTTATAGTTTACTTGTTATTCTATCTTGTATCTATACTTCAGCTTTTATTTCCAATTTTGGTTTTGTTAGGTTAGGTTAGGTTAGGCGGGCAAGATCGAACCAGAGAACTATAGGACAGGAGTCGAAGGATGTATCCTCTCTGCCACCGCTCCCCTGTTGCTGTTCTTATCATTTATTTTGTTGTTGCTTTTATTTTTCTTCTCTTTGATTAGTCTAGGATTAACATTTGTATTTTTTGTTAGTTTGATCTTCTCTTCTGTTAACCTTTGATTGACATTTATCGTGTGTGTGTGTGTGTGTGTGTGTGTGTGTGTGTGTGTGTGTGTGTGTGTGTGTGTGTGTGTGTTACCACTAACCTTTCATTGATACCTATTTTGCCTTTCTCCTCTTCCTCCTCCTCCTCCTCCTCATCATCCTCCTCCCCATCCTACCATTACTAGTCAATCAAAACACCATCCTGATGCCTTAGGGTTGGACACCGCGGCCCACCACCACCACCACCACCACCACCTCTCAGACAACTATACAATTTCTTCTGTCAAATCCTCCCTCATAAGCTTATAATAACATTCATCCTCCTAGTACTCCGTAATAACATTCATCCTCCTAGCACTCCGTAATAACATTCATCCTCCTAGTACTCCGTAATAACATTCATCCTCCTAGCACTCCGTAATAACATTCATCCTCCTAGTACTCCGTAATAACATTCATCCTCCTAGTACTCCGTAATAACATTCATCCATCCTAGTATCCGTAATAACATTCATCCTCCTAGTACTCCGTAATAACATTCATCCTCCTAGTACTCCGTAATAACATTCATCCATCCTAGTGCCCCATAATAACTTTCTACCAATTTCCTTGCATCTGAATATCTGTGGTCGTAAAACTGTTCAACATTCACAGCGCCAAACGTAAAGAAACTTCCCATTCTTTCCTCCCTTACCTGTAATAACTCGACTCACCTGATAAATCTTCCTAATTAGCACTACTTCTCGCTGGCTGACAAGGAGAGGCTCTTAAAGACGCTCCCTCCTCTCCTCGCCTCGCCTCGCATCGCCTCGCCTCGCCTCTCCTATCCTATACCTGTTAATTGATGAGGCATAGGTGTACCTGTAAACACATTAAGGTCAAAATGTTGTAGTTGTGATTGATTGTCACAAGTTTGAGAGGTCACTATTGGGTATGGTGAAGAGAGAGAGTAAGAAAAGAGAGAAAGAGAGAGAGAGAGAGAGAGAGATGTATAGAACAGAGAAAGAACGAGAGAAAAAAAGAGAAATAGTGTGAAAGAGAGAAGAAACTGGTATGAAAAGAGAGAGAAGGAAATTAGAAATAAAGAGAGGAGAGACAGACAGACAAATACAGCAGACAGAGAGACAGACAGAAAGACAGCAGACAGAGAAGAGCAAGAACAGAGAGACAGACAGACAAGTACAGCAGACAGAGAGACAGACAGAAATACAGCAGACAGAGAAGAGCAGAAACGGACAGACAGACGGATGAACGATATCATTTGAATTACATTTCGCTTCATCTCAAGTTACATTAAAATGTCAAGTCCTGAAGGATGGCTCGAGTGATTCATACTTATTCATTGGGTTCTGTGTCATATGCTCTCTCAAAGGATGCATTATATAGAGAGAATCATTTACTTGTAACTAATCACTAAATATTAACTAAGGCTAAATAATAATAATGATAATAATAATAATAATCAAAATAATAATAATAATAATAATATCATCCACAATCAACATTTACCGCCATAAAGGTATTAATTGTCTGTTTGTCTCTCTGTCAGGTTCGTCCTTTTCTGGTAAACGATCTTGTTCACCTCAGCGCTTCTGGCACAAAGGTAAGGGTCAAGGGTCAAAATGCCCCCCCCCCCCCCTGGTCTTACTAGGCCTATTATTAGCCTAGGCATGGGGAAGTAGGGAGGGCCTAGTCTTCATATGCCTTAGTTCTAATAGGCCCCATGTTAACCTAATTTAGTCATTAAGGATTGGGGCCCAGTGCTAATGGGCCCCAATTTTTATGGGTAGATTAGGGATATTATATACTGCTACCAGATGAGTATAGTAGTAGAAGTCGTAGTAATAGTCGTAGTAGTCGTAGTAGTAGTAAAAGTAGTAGTTGTAGTAATAGTCGTCGTAATAGTAGTAGTCGTAGTAGTAGTAGTTGTAGTAATAGTCGTAGTAATAGTAGTAGTCGTAGTAGTAGTAGTTGTAGTAATAGTCGTAGTAATAGTAGTAGTAAAAGTAGTAGTTGTAGTAATAGTCGTAGTAATAGTAGTAGTCGTAGTAGTAGTAGCCTAGTGTCATTGTCCAATCTGGAGTGGTGATGAATGACGCTTTGTCTATTGTAAAATCATTATTCACTCTCAAAGAATATATAGTGTTTTATCCCTTATATAACTACAAGTATTTCCTTACGTCTATTTACGTCTTCTACAGAATAAACAGTTTATTGGAAAACATTGATGTGGTGATGTAAACAAACTTAGGAGATTTTGTTAGTATCGTAAGTCTTTTATTTTTGTTTATTTTTGTTTACACTACAGAATAAACCAGTTAACGAGGGACCATGTATATAATGTTATATGATCAGTGTAGACAATTATAATGGCTTTCTGCTATTTGTTATTTATATATTTTGTTTACATAATAGAATGTTAAATGGCTATGTTTATATAATTCAGTTTATATTATGTAGTGTAACTTTCTGGTTGCTATATTACTAAATTTAACATAGATACCCGGGAACTAATGCTGATTTTACGATACGTTTCAAAAATTGGTGTTATATTTGTGTGTGTGTGTTGATCAAGAGAATCCCTGTGATTATTAACTAGTTATTAGTACACTATTTATGAACTGTCATGTTAACGACCTCTTGGCTAGCTACAACACGACACACCTGCTACCTGGATTAAACCTTCACATTCTCTATGTCCTAATACCTAACATTCGCTAAACTAATAATCACCTGAAGATTAAACACTCCGCCTCGTTTAACCTGAAGTTTGACGACCCTAACGCTAACTTAACCTAACCTAATATAACCTTACAGAGACTAGCCCACAGTAGAGCTATCCAATAATCAAATTAACTTCGATATAACCCAATATAGCTCAAACCAAAGTTCACGCAAATCCTTGGGTTAAATTTGGATAATGTTATATTTAGTGTAAAAATTGGCAGTGGTTATAGAGAGAGACGTAAGGTTACTACGTTTCATTTTTCACTGTGTATAGAATCCACACCATCTTACCATTAACCGAGGCTACAGAGTATTATTTTAAATAGACAAACACCAACTTCGTCAGAAAGGTAAGGAGTTGAGAGTGTTGACGGAATCCTTCACACACACACACACACACACACGGGGCGTCTCCTTCACCAAGATGTATTCTATAGACCTTGTCCTTCACCGCCGCCTTCATAACAATCCTTCAGCGTTACTCGTCGTTAAACCATTCAACTTGCAGTGGCTGGGTTATGGCGGGCGGTAAGGTGATGGTTTGATCACTGCAAAATAATCTGGTGAATTGCGTTGTTTTGTTGTGGTATAAGTGGCAAAAAAACTAACACAAAAAACTAACTTAACCAGTCTAGCCTATATTAACCTAACCTAATGAACTTAACTTAATCTAAACACCAGACTAACCCAAGTGATCTAAACTTAATCCACTAACTCAAAACGTTATGGTAATCTCCAACTAAGCTTGAAATATTATGGAAATACAACAAATGATAAATCTAGTGTGGCGTTTAATACATTTACATAATTATTCAGGAAATGGAACAATTAGCAGCACATGTTCTGATCATAATCATGGGATGAATTATGTCAGCCTTCATAATACATAACATGCTCTTTGTGCCCGTGATCGCGTGCTGCAATTTAGTAGCAGGAGAGTAATTAAGTCTTTTTATAGCCCGGGTTTCAATATATTACGGGCAAGAGTCATGGCATAACCGCGCCAGTAAGAGCCGTGGTTAGGTGTATATATATATAGTTGTCAAAGAGCCAAGTAACCCCTCTAAAAAAAATATAAGAAAACGTATTTGGCATTTCCTCGTAAGATTATAAAAACTTGACGATATTAAATTATAAGTTAGTGGACTTTAAGATATAATTAGAATCGTGTGTTTATGGTGGATTAAAATTGTAGATTAGAGCTTATCGCGTGGCGTTGGCGTGTTATTCATACCCTGGTGTTCTCTGTTCAAGAATCAGGAGAGTGTTGTAAAGTGAACATGTTCCTCATTACCCGCTCCAGTGAGTGCGCCTCGGGTGCAGCAGTAAACCCTGGCCAACTGTGTTACACCTCACCTACACTTCAAGCGTTCTCCTCCTTTTGGCTTAATTGTTATATTGCTGTCCATCTCTGTGCCTTGAACCGTGTCTACTAGTCGTTTGGGTTACTGTTTATTGATGGTCATAATATAAAGTACTGTATTATATATGCGTGTGTTTGTGTGTAGTGACTCGCATACCAGTAGCCTCGAGTTCGATGTCCATGCAGGATATAGTAACCAGAGCCGGGTTACTATATAGTTGCCCCAGTCTACCCAGCGGAGTCTTTGATATTATTCGTTTGTGGGGTTAGCCAGCTCGTCCTCGGGCTATTCCTCGACACCGGGTAATACGCTTGGCTAACTAAGGGTGTAGTTGTTGTGTTGACGGCACCTCGTAGCCTGAACAAATTCCTACCTAGGTGGCCCTACACTCGACCATCCTGGAGCACTAGGAAGCACCAGGTTTTTTTTAATACACTTACATCCTATACTGGCTACATGAATGAGAGGATACGTGGAACTACTAATAATAGAGGTGGTATTATTCTTTGTAACTTTATTTTAACTTTCAACCTTATATCAGTATGGAGGACTGATTTAAGAGACACTTGTATCACACACTTACGAATACCCAGAACCTGAGACCTTTCTTCCTTCTCCTTATATGGGTTTTGGACTGCGATGTGTCTGTCGTAGGTTAGCGAATCACCAGTCAGTCAGTCAGTTCCCGTCGTCAAGGTCTGTTGTTTATGTAGGGGGCAAAAGGTAAACCATGCCAGTTTAGCAGACGGTAGCCTAGTGAAGGTTAATCTGTAGCGGAACTTTCCAAACTCTTCCAAAAACCCAAATGTATTTTTCTTTCTTTTAAGTAATAAAACTGTAAATAAATTAAACCTCCGCCCCAGAGAGATGTCAAATTTCGGAAGATTGGCCAAAACAGCCCAGCAATGTTTAGAGAGAAGGACTGTGGTCGCCAGCTACTACGAATAACAATAATATAACCGTGATAATATATTTAAAAACATTCGTGCTGTTTTTAATTAATACATTTTTTTTTATCGGAATAAGTGTTTGTATATCTTTGAGTTCCAATAACGCTCGAACAACCAAACTTCAGGTCACCCAACTACATTTATTTATTTATTTACATAGAGTTATTTTAGTCCAACCAAGTCAGCCTTTGCTACCAATAGAATGGTATATAAGCTTAGAGCGAAGGATAAACGCTGGTTCGTGTGCAAAACAAACACAAATTGTCACAAGTACCACAAACACGACCGCTAAAACCATTGATTTTTCAGACGACATGAGCCAAGCACTGTCCTACAACCCTCTGTGGCCGTTAGGTTCAGGTACGCGTTACCATCAGGAAAAAAAAACATTATCTTTCCCTCACGGATCTTTGGACCAAGCTGTTTTTAAGCCAACCAAGAAGAATGTCGTTTAATAAAAGATAAATAAAGTATATGAAAGTGCCTCGTCTGCTTCTGCTCGTCTTGTAAACACCGCCAAATTGACTTGTCATTGATAAAGACTCTGATTAAGCCTTTTCCCTTAACCCGCACAACAAGTATTTAATCCTTTTGTATCTTAAATTGTATCGTTTAATTTTATATTCATAGGAATTTTATGTCTCCGATTTACGACTCTTCTACGTTTATTGGTGCTTTCTGTTCACACTTTACTGTCCATTGTGAAAAACCAGTAAGCGATGGCTATTGTCCACATGGAAATATATATAATAAAAAGCCCGTCTGTTATCCACTCATAATTTGTAATGCCTTCCCGCCATCCCTGAATTTGGTATATTGTAAATCAACATTGAGACCAAATCCTTTTTCTAGCGGAATAAGAGCACAACACCATGACACTTCCTGCTCAAACTGTACCGCAGAGTTTCTATAAATTACTTTTCCCTTTTGAGTTTTAATCACTGGAGTAACAATTTGGTATTTTATTTATATGCGTATTTTCTTTTTTAATTCGTATTGTTTTTATATTCGGTTATTTTAGCAGGGGGTATTTCCGGTTGATTTTGTCCATTAGGTGACTGGCGGCATCATTCACACTGTGTTGACCTTTGTCTGGTGATGTGTGGCACCCCATCTACATCAGTGAGTTACTGGAAATATTGTAACATTTTATTTTATATAAATTGTCAGAATATGTTATACCCTGAACTGACTGTTTGCAGAGCGCTGTTATAGACGGGTGCACGAATATTCTTTGGGTGTGTGCTCAATACAGTGTGAATATCTGCTGTGGATATTTAATAAAAAAACACATAAAATATTGCCACCACTCTCAGATAACTTGATTTTGAGGTTATTAGATATATTTTACCCAAATTTTTATTGAGTTTACAGTGATGATTGTGTGAGTGTGTTTGTGTGTGTGTGTGTGTGTGTGTGTATGTCTCAGCAGGAGAGAGACATGACTAGTAATCAGCAGGAGAGACATGACTAGTAATTCAGGAATCCTTATATCTCCACGGTATGAATAAAGATTTTTATGGGTGGTGGTGTACAGTAGAGCTGTCCTGTGCCGCCCCTTGGTGTGTATTGTCTGCTAGGCCAGAAATCAATCGGCTACATAATTTTCTAGATTTGTATTGAAGATATGTAGATAGAAAACGATTTTGTATCTTTAACGAGAGAATTAATTATCTTTTCAAATATATATACACGTAAAAAATAATACTGTACTGATAAAATATATTTATTGGGGATTGTAGGTAATATTCCGATTGGTGTAAATAAATTATTACGCTTCAATCATTTTTAAAGGACTTCAGAGAATAGTTAAAAGAGAAAAAGTATATAATTATTATGTAACAATTATTTTTTTTAAGACTAGATCGTGAATGAGAGGCATAAGTTATTTTTATGAGGCAGTTATTTCTAAACAGTTAAGATATTATGTTTAAGAGATATAAATAGTCATTACGTAGTAGCTATATTTAGAAGGCTTTAGATAGTATGCATGGAGTAGACGTTAAAGTGGCAACAGTGTGAGGTGGCAATTAAGACGTCCAGGTCAAGGCGGAGTGTCGCAACCCTGCCGGAGTTGCCACCTCGTAAACACTGACCCAAATTAAATCCCACCGAAAATCACAGCCATTTTTAATCAGGGAAGACTTGGAAACTTACGAGCCTGATGAAATTACATTTTTGTCTGACAAATGGCTGAAGTTTTGTGTATAAATAAGGTGTTGGTGGCCAGAATAATTACCCATGTTATTAGAAAACGTGTGGTGGCTGTGTAAAATGGATTTGTTCAGTAAAGTCTGTAAGTGTGACTTATTCTAGGTCGGGAGGAGATGGAGTATCTTGTTAGGGTGGAAGTTTAATCCAAGAGTCGCGTTTAAGTTCGTATTTTTAGGTCTTGGGGTTTAGTTATTGCCGAGCGTCCAAGAGTTGTGCCAAGTCCACCTTTCGTAAGAGTTAGGAGACTGGTTAGTGTTTTAAATCGAAGGCTCGGACTCGATCCCATGTATTTTATAAGGAAATGGACTCGGTTAGTATTTAGAGTACGAGATTTTTACTGAGTCCCATGTTGTAAGGATTCAGACTCAAGTAGTTAGTATTTTGAGTACGAGGGTCTTACTGAGTCCCATGTTGTAAGGATTCAGACTCAAGTAGTTAGTATTTTGAGTACGAGGGTCTTACTGAGTCCCATGTTGTAAGGATTCAGACTCAAGTAGTTAGTATTTTGAGTACGAGGGTCTTACTGAGTCCCATGTTGCAAGGATTCAGACTCAAGTAGTTAGTATTTTGAGTACGAGGGTCTTAATGAGTCCCATGTTGCAAGGATTCAGACTCAAGTAGTTAGTATTTTGAGTACGAGGGTCTTACTGAGTCCCATGTTGTAAGGATTCAGACTCAAGTAGTTAGTATTTTGAGTACGAGGGTCTTACTGAGTCCCATGTTGCAAGGATTCAGACTCAAGTAGTTAGTATTTTGAGTACGAGGGTCTTAATGAGTCCCATGTTCAGACTCAAGTAGTTAGTATTTTGAGTACGAGGGTCTTAATGAGTCCCATGTTGCAAGGATTCAGACTCAAGTAGTTAGTATTTTGAGTACGAGGGTCTTAATGAGTCCCATGTTGCTAGGAAATGGACTCCAGTAAAAATAACCTTGATTTCGTTTAGTATTCAATTAGTCTATGTCTTTATATAGACTCTGATTCAAACAGGTAGTGAGTTATACATTTTTCAGTTGATTGGAGACGTTTCTGATATGAACATCTACTGAAGCGAAAGATAACAGATTCATTTGTGGTTATCTTACATATGTTATGACTGAATCAACTCTTGACTAGAACAGTTATTGAGGCTCTACGATCACTCAAGCAGTTAGTTAGCAATCTCTCTCTCTCTCTCTCTCTCTCTCTCTCTCTCTCTCTCTTCCTATTTTATACCTACTCAAAGTCTTCGTCTTCCATCTTTCTTCCCTCCCCGCCTTCCCTCCATCTCTCTTCCGTGTACTGTCCATCTCTTGCTATTTGTCCTTTTCATTTTTTCGCCTCTGTGTTTGGTCTCTCCTCCGTATTGTTTAGGATTTCTCTTGTTTATCCAAGGGACTCTATACCCCTTTCCTCACGTCTGTCTCTCCCTTCCCTCCCCTCCAGGTATTTTTCTACCCGGTACTTCCATTCCTTTCCTGTATATTCTTTATCAAATATTTTTCCTTCTTGTGTTATGAACATCTCTCTCGTTTGTATGTGTTCTTTCCTATGTTTTCTTTATTTTCTGTTTCTCTTTTTCATATGTGGATCTCCCTCTTATTTTTTTCCTCTCTTACTTTATGCTCTTTCCATTTCTCGTACCCTGAGTGGTCGACTCTTCCAGCGTGGCTTGAGCAGCAGTTAACCTTTTACGAGTGTATCAGTATTCAATATTCCATCGCAGTTTGGCCAACCCCTCCCTCTGCTGCAGCACGCTAACCTGACCTTTATTCTTCTCCCACAAAGAGAAGACCTTTGACGAGGCTGGTGGAGGAGCGGGGGCCAGTGGAGGGGCGGCGGCGTCCGAGCAAGCCAGCAACACAGTGGTGGACGTGGGCGGAGGCGTCCAGTCCACCTCAGGGGGCCAGAAATCCACAGGTGGTGCTGAAGGCCAAAGCTCAACAGGGTGCTCGGGGGAGCTGAAGTCCCCCGGTGTGGTGAGTGGGCCGAGTCCTACGGGAAGTCAGCAGTCGACGGGCTGTATGTCTGCTTCGAGTTCCACAGGGAGCCAGAGGACTACAGGCTGTGTTGGCAGTTCAAGTCCTTCAGGAAGCCAAAGAACTTCGGGCTGTATCGGTAGCTCAAGTCCTTCAGGAAGTCAGAGGACTTCGGGCTGTGTGGGCAGTTCAAGTCCTTCTGGAAGCCAAAGAACTTCGGTGTGCGTGGGCAGTTCTAGTCCTTCTGGAAGCCAGAGGACCTCTGTCTGTGCGGGTACTTCAAGTCCTTCAGGAAGCCAGAGGACTACAGGATGTGCAGGAGACGAAAGTCCTTCTACAGGCAGCCAAAAGACTACGGGTTATGTGGGCGGCCAAAGTTTAGTGAAGGTGAAGAGTAGTGGAAGCCCCACGAGCATCGCGGGGATGCGGTCTTCTCTGGGTAGCAAAGTGACCCCCGAGGGTGTGGTTCAGGGTAGCACGGGCAGCCTCAGGAGCAGGGGCAGCCCTCTCAGCCACAGACCTACAGCTGCCGTAGTCTTCAGGAATACTCATGGTGGTGATGTGGGAGCCAGGCAACGTCCCTTCAGCGCCGTGGGGGATATTGTGGTCAACCCTCTGCGTCAGGTACAGTACCTTGCTTTTCATCTGTCCATTGGTAATAACACATCTCCACCTTCCGTTTGACAGACAGGTCCCATGACTCTAGTGACTACGCTGTGTTTTATGATGACAGATACTATGTTCAAAGACTCACAAGTGTTTATCAAAGAGTCTAAATACTACAGATGTTACATAAATTTCCTTCATTATTTTCACGTTTTTCTTCCTATGAATTATACTCTGGTTATATATATCCAGTATCATTTTTCCTTTGATATACACGTAGCGTAAATAAGGACCAGTGTCACATGTGTCAGTAGGTGTCATAAATACGGTCGTTACAGAGCTATAGACAGTTGGACAGACAGACCTCGTTGCAGCTTGACCTTTCATCATCATCCTGTAATCACTGTTCATTGTCCTATCTTTTAATTCCTTATTTATTCTTTTTCTTTGTATTCCACATTTCTCTCTCATTATTTGTTATGTTTTCTGTCCTTTGTTTTCATTTCTTTTGTTATTCATTTTGTTACTGCTTTTTTGTTTCTGTTTATCTTTTATCTTTAGTCTTCTTCTCTTATTAATTATTTTTCGTTATTCTCTCTTCCTTTCGTGTCTCTCTTCATTGTCTATGTTATTTATTTTTCTTTGCAATGTCTCTTTTCATCTCTCCCATCTCTCTCGTTATGTGTTATTCCTCTTCTTCCCCTTTCCTCCCTCATTTTATCTTTTATCTTCTCTCATTCTTCTCTTTTTCTCTCTCTCTCTCTTTTCTATTCGTTTTCTCATCATCGTTTTTGTAATGTTTTTATTTTCATTCCTTTACTGTATTTTATGTTTTTAATTTCTGCCTGTTCTATTTCCCCTTTTCATCATATTTTGTCAATTTTTATTTTATTTCGTGTTTATTTCCTTAGTCTGGATGTTTCTTTATTCATTTTTTATCTTTGTTTAATTGTCATTCCTCTTCTCCCCTTTTCGCTTTTTTTGGTTTTTGTATTTTGTTTGTTTATCGTTTTATGTGTTTATTTCCCCTTATTCCCGTTTTCTTTGTCTCTCCTTCAATCATGTTATTTATTCTTTTTTCTTCTTTGCTGCCTTTCATCATCTTTTTGTTTCCTTTTGTTTTATTGTTTCCTCTGTGTCTCTCTCTCTCTCTTTATTCCTTGTCTCTCTCCTTTTTTTTAATCTGTTTTTGTGTTATTCTCGTAATTTTTCACTTTTTCCTCTTTTTCCCTGCTCGTAGTCTGTCCTCACCTATTTTCCTCCATTCCTACATTGTCTTTTTATTCTTTTCCCCCTTTCTATCCTTCATTTTCTTTAGTTCTCTCTCTCTCTCTCTTGCTTTATTGTCTCTTCTGTCTCCATTCCCCCCTCTTTTCCTTTTTCGTATAGTCTCTTGTCCTCTGCCATTTTCCTCTCCTTCACTACATTCGAGGCAACATTAAAATTCCCCCCCTGTGTTCCTCCATGCTCGTATTTTCCTCCCATTTTTTCCCTCTCTCGGATATTTTCAGGGAAACTTTTATATTTTCTTGACTATCTCGTATATTCCCGAGGGGAGAGTTTTATCGTTTGTCCCTCACTATCACCCATCCCACTTCACCTCACTTCATCCCCCCCATTATAACCCCCCACCTCACCTCTATCTCACTTCATTTCCATCTCATCGTCCACCTCACTTCACCACTTCACTTGCACTTCACCTCCAGCTCACACCACCTCCCTTCACCCATGTCTCTCTCTCTCTCTCTCTCTCAATACCAGATTGTCTCTTTAAATTGACTGTTACATGTCATCTCTCCTTCCAGTCCTTCCTGCCGACCGACGACGACTACCCCGAGGCGTGGAGCGATGACCAGCTACGTTCCCCCAGAGACAGGCCCTCTTACCCGGACATGGGGTCTAAACTATCCCCCAGAGAGGAGGAGAAATACCCTGGGGTCAGGTTTAGTCTTCCCCCCAGTGAGGAGTTGAGTTATCCGGGGGGCCGATCCTTCCACGGCGCCTCCAGAGAAGAGGGGCATTATCCGGGGATGAGACCCAAGTACAAGCTCAGAGAAGCGGAGAGTTTCCCGGATATTCGTGTTCATTATAGCCCCAGAGAAGAGCGTATTTATACCGGAGCCCGACCGGAATTTAGCCCCAGAGAGGAACGTAGTTATCCGGGGGTACTATCCGAGTACACCCCGAGGTTCGAACGCAGTTATTCGGGGATCCTACCTCACCAAAGCCCCAGAGAAGAACGGCGTCAGAGCCCTAGAGATGACCATCAGTATTACCCAGGGACAACACGAATGGGGTCTCAACACAGCCCCAGAGATGACCCCAGTTACCCCGGAATGCGACCTCATCGTTATAGCTACATCGGCGTACGCGTCCAGCAGAACCCCAGAGATCAACTGCGCCACAGCTACCCAGCAATCCAGTCCTACCCTTCTAACCGAGGCATGGGCACCTACCCCGGGGTGCGATTGGCCCGTGGTGCTTCTCGGGGTAGCAGAGGAACTATCAGGACGGACTCACAAGTTCCCGTCGACCAGCTGATCAAGGCGACGGAGACGGTAGTGTGAGACAGCCGGCGGGAACCTGCTGTTATTGATGGTAAGTGGCTGGTAGATTGTGGTAGTGACTGGTTGGTTGTTGGTAGTGACTGGTTGGTTGTGGTAGTGACTGGTAGATTGTGATAATGGTTGTCGTACAGTAGATGTTAATGATGATTAGTAGATTGCAGTACTAGTAACTGTTATAGATTATAATGATTGTTAAGAGGAATGGTGGTGAGTGTGGTAAGGATGTTGTGGTGAGTGTGGTAGGATGGAGGAGAGGTAAGATGAGAGAAAGGGAGAGAGGGAAGGAAGACGAGAGAGAGAGAGAGAGGAAGGATGGGAGAATGGATGAGAAAGGAGGAGCTAGGATGCGTAGGAGAAATGATGGGACAGAGAGGATAGGAGAAAGGGAAAGAGGATAGGAGAGAGAGGGGATGAGGAGGAGAGAGGATAGGAAAGAGGGAGGATGGGAAAGGAGAGAGAGAGAGAGGGGGGGGCTGTTATTATGTAGAGAAGGTGGCGCTACTGCAGAAGGCTCAGGAGGAGGCGGGGGAGGTGAAGGTAGGTAGGCAGGCAGGTAGGTAGGTAGCTGTTCGTTACCTGATTGATTACGTTATAAATCACCTGCGTTTTTAACCTCTTGTGATGTTACTAATGAGACCATGAATCACCTCTATTAATTACTTGAGTTTATCATCTGCCTCCCTCATTAATGTAGTTTAAATCCTTCTCCTCTGGCTGCTGTTGTTGTTGAATGCATTCCCTCCACGCTGTTATCATACGCAGTCCTATTGTCTTTTGTTTTCGCGTTGGTGGTTTGTGAGTGTTGTTTTTTTTGCGTTTTTTTTTTGTGGGTTATGCGTTGTTGGTTGTTGTTTTTTTGCGTTGGTGAGTTGTAAAACCACTACCGCCACACACACTGCTACCTGTACAATACCATCGCTACTAACACTACTACCACCACCACCACCACTACCACCACTACCACCATCACCTTACCTGATTAGTGACGTCTATATAACTGACTTCACGCCCTGAGAGCCAGTTGTGTACACTCAAATTTGGCATCAGTGTCATACCCTTGTGAGAGAGGAGATATAACCCAGGACTCCTTCACTCCCTCTCTCACTCCTTCTCTCCCCCTCTCTCATCCTTCTCTCCCCCTCTCTCATTTCCCTCCCTCTCATCCTCCCTCCCGCAGAACATCGCCAATCGCCAACTCAACTTTAAGGGAGGGAGCGTGGCGCGAAACGTTCTTAAGAGGTAAACTCCCGACATTATTTTGCGAGTGTGAGAATAAAAGACCCGACAAACAATAGACGTAAACAAAACAAAAGTCGAGTTATTGTTTGCTCTGTTTGGGTGACTATACGTGGGCCAAGGTTCTTTTAGACAACTATTCACAAGGTAACTCTATATGCAAACACACACACACACACACACACACAAACACACACACGCACAAGCGCACGCACAAGCGCACACACACACACACACACACACACACACCTTTTAAATATTAAGAATAGCTTCCCCTGTTTTATTTAATTGTATTTTGATCATAAACCCACTGAACACCTGTAATTTATATAGTACAGGTGTTAGTGACCTCCGTTTTCTATTTCAGGGGGAGTTAAAGGGATTGATATATATATATATTTTCGTTGATATTCATGTGTAGTTATGGAAGTCATCTGGTATTATTATTCTCTCTCTCTCTCTCTCTCTCTCTCTCTCTCTCTCTCTCTCTCTCCGTATTTATTTTTATCTTTCTCCCTCTATTTCCCTTTATCTCTCTCTTTCTCTCTCAATCTCTCAAAATTCTGGTGGATGTGCTAGATCGAGTCGTACCATTGTCATGCAGATGTGTGGAGGCGAGGTTTAAAAACATTGGTATATTCAATGACTAGAGAGACTAAATAACTCCTCTTGTATGTTGAATGTTGGTTAAGACCTCACATATAACACACACACACACACACACACACACACACACACACATACATACATACATACATACATACATACACACAGAAACTTACACATACGCATGCAATTTTGTGTGCGTGTTTGAGTAGTATCTGTTTGTGCTTGTATAAATATGTATGTGTGTGTGTCTGTGTTTGTAAGTTTATTTGTCTCTTAGTGTATGACTATGTGTATGCATGGTAGTGTGTGTGTGTGTGTGTGTGTGTGTGTGTGTGTGTGTGTGTGTGTGTGTGTGTGTGTGTGTGTGTACCTCAGCCATGATCTAATAACCACTGCCTCCTTCACCACACGACAACCAGTCAGGATATAAAATATTAAGAGGAGGTTGTTGGCTACTGCAAGAGGGTGGCAGATCTTGGACCCTGACACATCCCCGTCACATTCTAACACATCCCCTCCATATTCCAACACATGTCCGACACATCCCCGCCACATTCCGATACATCCCCGGCACATCCTGACACATCCCACCACATTCTGAAATATTCCTATTACTGACACATCCGCGCCATATTCCTTCACATCCTCGCCACATTGACACATCCCTGTCACACTGATATGTAACAACCTAATATAACAACAATCTAACATAACCAATCCTAACGCTAACCTAACCTAACCTAACCCACTTTAGGTAGCGTCAGGGTGTTTAATCATCAGGTTAAATAAGTTTTGGGGATAAACTAAAGTTGATCCGAATTTAGTAATGATAATTATTTGGTTTTCGTAAACAGTTTAGTCACCCAATTTGTGGGTTTTTCTTTTCTCTCTCTAAAAGCGAAACAGGTACTGCTCAGGAATTAATTACAGTCCGTCATAATTGAACTATGTGGTAGATTATCAGGAATCAATTCAATACGTTACCTTTTTTGGTTTATTTTTTCCACTGCAGTACAAGTTCATCAAAATGCCCGTGGCAGCGCTTACGTCCGGTCGGTGGTTTTCACTGCCAGACGCACGACTAGATCCTAAGAGAGACAACTTCATTAATTTTGTCCTTTAATGTTCCATGTATTGATCAGTTTCTTTGATCACTATTCACTAAGTCATAATATTTCATGTCTTTTCTTCGGTAGATTTATTGAATTACACAAGTATATATAGAATATTTTTCTTTAATATAATCAAACCAGCATAAACCCATTAATAAACCACTTACTGTATGTTGTGGTTAAAATATAAACCCATTGTGTTTCTCTTGTTCCTACAGACTGTATTGACCAGCTCCGCCTCCCCTCCTCTGCTTCCGTAACCGCGAGTGATTGCCCCTCTGTGTTATGAGTTACCATTTCCATTGTTTTAAATAAAAGTTGATATATCTCTGTGGTTTTATTCCCCTTCCTCTCAAAGAAAAAAAAATGTACTTGGAATTATTGTCGGGAAAAATACGCTTTTATTATTTTATTATATTTTTTCTTTCTTTCTTTTCCCATTTTAGGAAACGAAGGAATGTCGACGATATTTCAGGAAAACGTACGTGTCTTGTGGGACCAGAAAGTAAGGAATGTTAATACCACAGAGAAAATAGGTGGATTATACAGCAGGTGAAGCTAATTTTTCTTCTGCTTGTGGTTGGAAGTCTTGAGTGATGTCATGTGAGCCCAACCAGCTGACAACTCAGTAAATATACAGGTATTTATGTTACTTTAATATGAACACAGTAGAACCATAATTAATGTAGAATTGTGAACAAACAGAAGAGTTATCCACACGGAATTCAAGCGTCTCAGCGGGTACTTAGAGAATGTCATGAAAGAGTTAATTTCACAACACGTGTTTATTAACCAACTTGTTTTGGCTAAACCTTTTATTAACTTGCTTTGTTTCCTTTATGGTGTGTAAATAAATTATTGCCAATTGTGAATATATTTTTTTTATGTAATATAATTAAGTACTGTCTTGTACTATACGTCTAATATCATTAAACTCAATTATTGAATTGGATATTTAACTACTGTTGGCAGTATCGTGCTGTCGTGGCCTTGCACATGTGCATTTATCAGTTACACTCGTGTTGTTTCATGTGAGCTCGTTTAAATCTTTTAGAAGTGGAGTTCTGAGACAAACCAGTTGACAAAGTGGTGGTCCCAAAGCTGTGAGAACTAGTTGAAGACAGAATACAGATGCGTGACAGTAACACATGTGCGGGAGTCTCTGGCAAGTGGAGTACCCGTTAGTGTCCCTGGAGCCGAGGTGTGTTTACAATTCACTTTTGATTTATGGAGGCGACATATGAAGCTTACCACGCCAGCTGTACCACCGTCACGTTCACTCTAATGTAAATATGACAATCCTGAGGAAACTGCCAGCGTGCTCGTCACAGGCGGTAAGAGTAAATAATTGTGTTTGGGTTTCTGCTGTTATGACCGACAACGAAAATACGTCTCGACAATTTTAGCAAGGATGTAATTTCTCAGGCCATAGTGAATAATCATTTATATCAACATACTGTAATTATTAACCAAACACAACCATACCAAATTATTAAACAGTTTTAAAGGTTTAGTTGGTTCATGTTATATTATTTTAAAGGAATTCCAATTTAGTCCCAGAAACTACATCCAGGTCAAACACTTCATTATGATATCATCGGGTTTTTTTACGTTATTATTTTTCAGCTGTACAAATGTGTTTAACCCCCCCACCCCCGACCTAGTGTTGTGTATACCATTGATCACGTGACATGGTTTACTCGTGTGGTTGAGTGTTCAATATCGAGTGTTGGTACGCCTGAGTGGGCAGTAACCATCCACGAATTTGCAATGTTTGTCAGTGGTGGAATTTGTTGGTTATTTACACGGTGTTAACTATAATTCCCTTGAAGTTACACGACCAAAACATTGCTCAGTGCTCTATCATGTTCTGCACTTGTGTTTCCCATATTGTTCTGTCTTATTCATTTCTTGTTTTTCCCAGCAGACATGATAGTATTTGTTTTATATATAATGTGAGAATTATTGCATACAGTCTAATCTAATGCAGTGATCTACAGTACTACGCTAAACTGCTGCCTCAGGAAGTATTAGCATCTTATAAATGCTCTAATATTGAGTTTTATTCTATTGGCTTGTTTTAAATTAATCTAGTGCCAGGGTAATCTATTATAAACCACTTTCTATGAGTTTTATGGTCACGGGGTAACAAATTATCCATCATTAATTTATAGTATTCTCTTTGAAATCCAACATTGTTAAACAAATTGAGTCAGTAGCTATCTCTTTTTGGCAGCAGACTAAGGCCAGAGTTAACAGAAAGTCGCGAGTGAAGTCGTCTTAGAATTCGAGTAAAAGGAGAAATGCCAGTTTATCAAAATGTTGCCTTATCATCAGCTGTAATCACCGTAATGTTAGTTGTTAGTCTAGTTAGTTTATAGTGTTAGTTTATGAATACATTTGTAAGGTTATTTGACGCCAGCCTGACGGTCACTGGCGCTGCCTCCTGTAACATCTACAGAAATAGTGAAGTGTATTTGGCCAATTTCAATAGATCAAGAGAAAAACGGCTTACTACAGGCATCCCAGTTTTATGGTAATTATTTAAAAGCGTGGAACCGTCATGAAATTATTAACTGGATACTTATTTTTAAAACTAAAGCTTTATTAAGGCGTTATACCGAATATATATTTTTTTAGTGTCGGGTCCACGGGACATTTTTGAGCAAAAGAGCCAGATTTCTGGGTCATATTCGCAGCTGTGGGTAAAGGTTCGACAAATGTGACGTATTGTCTTTTTTGTTTATTGATTTTGAGAATAAATTATCTAGATTCTAGTTAGAGAGGAGGAATAGACCAGTGCAAAATATACGATCATCCTGTAATATCAAGCTGACGTGCCTAACATACTGAGCTACTAGGCTGAGTTTGTTGGAAATAATTATATTAACTTAGGTTCGTGATCACTTTCATTAAACCACACAAAAATAAAAATGGCTTGGTCGTCAATGATAAGTTATTGGATACCGTACGTCTTCGTTATGTAGGAGACCAGTTTGAAACCCTGTCAGTCCGGCCTTGATGACGGGTTATACCAGTTGTGTGCGTGATACATCTTCTCAGTTAACGTAATTTTTCCTCCCCACCGCCGCCGTGAGTCTGATGCAGATAGGTTTTACCAGCAGTTTCATGGCGTTGTTAAGATAATGAATGACGGTAATACTGCGAAATTTCTTAAGCTCTACTGCTTGAGCTTTCGTACTACATTATCAGATATGATACAAAATGACTGGCTTTAGGGGGGTTTCGAGGTTGGAGATTACCCACAATTTGCCTGAGAGCATCTGCCATGTTTGTAATCTTTCACTATCAGGCTTTCAATTTCCCGACTAACAGTATGCTAATAAAGGCCTCAAGTCTTGATTGTTTTTAGCTAATTAGATATGTATAGTGTAGGTAATATGAATATAATAAAAAATAGTGAAAATGTGACGTATATAGAATGGTTTAAACAGTCGGCAAGTTAGAGTACTGATAAGGCTTCGCTGCGCTTCTTGGGTATATTAAAAATTCCGCAAGACAAACTGCGCGAGATAAATTTTGTAACTTGTACTAATTTTAACCATCATTTTGTTAGACTAAAGCAAGGTTTCGAGTATACTTTCCCAGTAACAGTTCTCCCTGCTGTTACCCATGATTCACCGCGCCCATTGTGGCTCGAATTTTAGCGCGGAGTGATGTAATTTCCAATAATATTACTTATGTACAGTATAACGGTAACGTACCTCGCACCTGCCTTAGTTACAAAAGTTTCGTATTCAAATCAGTTAATTAAGAAGCCATGGGTATATCTTCGCGTCAAGGACCATTTGCTAAGATTCATACATTAATATTTGTCGACTTAAAATAATCACATATGGTAAATTACTAATCACACCATTTGGGCGAGAACTTGTACCATAACGTAAATAAACCAGAAATATGGGTTTGCACATATGAAATTAACAGAGGAGGCTATTCAGTACCTTCCTAATCCCCAAAAATCCTAACAACAAATTTTAACCAACCTTGGCATAAACAGCAGACACACGGCGCTACGGGCTCCACCAAATATTTTTTTTTTATAAGACTTGTCATTAATCACGTAAGGGATAAAAATTGGAACATAAATTGGATATTCGGGGACATGAACTTGCACTAAATGGTAAATGAAATTATTGTATTATATACTGAGCGGTAAATTTCCATTAATTTGGATAATTTCTCGGGGGATACCTTGGTCTGTCTCACCTCCAGGGCAAAACGCTTATATGATACAATAATTAAGCAGAGTTATTACTTTCTGAATAATATATATATTCATGTGTCTAAACTTTCCACGTTGTGATTTCCCAAGGTAGCTTCACTCCACGCATTAGGATGATGTGTCACCTAACCTGACCTGACCTAACCTGACCTCATCTGACCTAACCTAAACTACTGTAATCCTAGCCTAACCTAGAGTAATCCTAACCAAAACACAAATATGATCACAGCTTCATTTATCTTCCAGCTGTCGCCTGACAAATGGTAACAACTCTACCCAACCTTGGTATAATCTTGACCTAACACAGCATAACCCTGACCTGGTCTAATGGAATCCTAACTTAATCCCACTTCTCTTCCATCTCTCTTATCAGAATCCTCCTCCGTTGTCCTCCCTCCCATTCACCTTCCTTTCCCCCATCCATCCATTTATCCTTTTCCTTCCCACCTCAGATCTTTCCTTCTTCCCTCCAAATTCTTTCGCTATCTTCACCCTCTCATTTCTCCATTCTTCCTCCATTTATCTTCCCTCCTTCCAATTTTCTTCCGATTCTATAGCTTCTCATAACTCTCTCTCTCTCTCTCTCTCTCTCTCTCTCTCTCTCTCTCTCTCTCTCTCTCTAACAACCACTATTTTTTACCCTGGCGCAGCCCTGTTAGGGGACGCGGCTCCATCCTCGCTAGTTGACCAGCCGCTCGGGGGGTCTTAATTGGGGCACTCTGAAGGCCGGGGAGCTTGGGGAGGCTGGGGAGGAGGGAGGTGAAGAGGATACGTTTAGGGGTGAGGGGAGAAAGAAAAGATCTAGAAATAAGTGAAGGAAACGGGGTAATGGGGGAGGAAGGGGGAGTGTAAGTTAGGGTTGACAGATGAGAGAAAAGATATTTGATTATGAAAACAAATGAAGGAGAAAGAGGAGGGGAATTATATCCTCACATATTCTCTCCAGGTCTTATTTACTACCGCCTCACTATGTCATCTTTTATCAACATTTATTATCTGGTTAATATCACCTCTCTTGTTATTCTTCATTCATTATCATCTTATTAAGCTATGTATTTTTTTTTTTATCTTTCCCCCTTTC